GTATGCAACTTACCATTTCAATAGCATCCTTTGGCGAACACCTAGAGACTACGTCGTCATCAAACTGGTACCAGTCATTGTCCCCAAGTGGATTGATGTAGACAACATAGTGGCCACCGTGGTGGTCGCCGGAATGTACCAAAACGGCATGCAGGAAGTAATCAGTGTACTGGGCCTCCGCTGGATCCAGAACATAGTCCTTCAAATCGAGGTCGTAGGGGAATTCGAAACGGTCGTTTATTTTCACGTTGGTGTTCGAGTGAAAGTCATATTGGAAACGCATTAATTGGAGGTAGAGGACCGGAGGAAATTTGATAAACTTGACGCCCTTTTCAGCCTCCTGGAGACCATACTTGCCGGCGTCGTACTTGTTATCGTTAGCCAACATCTCCACTTGTATGTACTCCTTAAAGGCAGCATGAATATCTTTGTTGCCGTTGACCTTTAGCTGAATGTCGTAGAAGTTTTCCTCCCGCTTTGATTCATAGCTAACTTGCGTACATTTGATGTAGGAGACCATTCTGCCACTAAACAGATTTGGTATGATGTCCTCCACAGCTGTACCCTTCATCTTGTTTTCGATGTTGTCTAACAGGACCCTACATAACTCTTGTGCATCGTGCTGCATGAAAGAGTCCCAAGTGGCCCAGCCGAAGCTGCGGGTCAACTTCTCGGTGCAAACAGCATGCGCGGAGGTTTGGAGTTCATAGAAGGTGCGCTGCAACGCCAGTGGGACGCTAGTAAGGCTGTCATCACTCTCAGTAGGCATTCGAAATACGGCTGAACGCAGGCAATTGGTGCAGTAGAGGGCTTGGAGTACGGAGTTTAGGTAGCAGGTCGCCCCCTGGTTCTTCAAGCCAACGAATCCGGTGAAACGTTTGGAGTCCCATTCAGCACCGTGTGGGGCGTCAGCGTCGACAGTGATGCGAGCATGAATAGTGTTATTCACCACATAGCCATTTTCAGGATTGAAGAGATCATTGTAGGGAATGAAAGTCTGGTAGCCCCAATCGTTCTCCTTGTGAGCAAAGGTGTGACGGATACGAAGCTTCTTGTTGTTCACACGCTTATTCTGTGAGACTAGTTCTAGATTGGCGCGTGCGTAGCAGGTCCACGTGGTTGAGGGACTCTCCGCATTACACTGCAGGAACATGCCCATCGCGCTGCGCGATTCCGGTCGTGGGAAGACGAGCAGAATCTTCCAGGGAAGACAACGAATCATCGAGGCGTTACTTAGGAGCTGAAAGTACACGAACAGAAAGTCAGGGCAAACTAGCAAACCAGAAGTCCACAAAAAGGGTCTGGCGCGGATAGGCGCTGCAGGTCGATGCGCACTACCTGTCACATTTCAACGATATAATAAAGCAGTGAGTGGTCCTGCACAAACTACCTTTTAAAACTACACCGAGACCAGCTTAAGGCTGAATAAAACAGACATCGTCAATCGGGCAAATAGTTTTGGCTCTAAGGAGCAGAAAGAGAAACTTACACGAAGTTCGTTCCTGATTTCGACTTTCTACAATGGGAAGAAAAAGGGGGGGGTTGATTGGCAGTCGAATGTGAGTGAGGGAAAACCTGGCAAAGACAATTATACTACGTACTCTCTGTAATGTTTTTTTTAAACAGGGAAAGACAGAATATGGAGTCAGCATACCCGAGGGTCTTCAATGTTGGTGAAGAGATGTTCCAGCACGCCGGAGGATCGTGAGACACATTCTTCAGCGAAGGCCTCACTGCTACCCGTTTTTCCGCTGCCAAGGCTATCCGAAAGAGTTTCAGAAACATCAAAGGGCTTGTTGACCTCCTATGCAAGAGGAAGTATAGCAGGGATTAAAAGTTGGTCTGGAAGCAGTTAAAATGAACATCAGGAAGTTCATTGTCTACAAGCACTAAATAGCCAAATTGTTGTTAGTTGCAAATTATTGAAAATACCTGATTTGGTAATATTTATTTGGTGTTGTGGAGAGCTAGCATTGATATTTTGGACAATCCACATTGGCTTTTACACAAAGACATCCTCGCACAACTCTCGATTTTTAAACTATTCCTGCAGACAGACATTTCAGCTCTGAGCTCCAAAGCAAACGCTGTAAGGTACTTAACAGCCTAACTGTCTAATGGATGAGTTAAATTATGGGGACGGTTCAAATGATAAAACAAGTACGTAAGTCGAGGCTAGACCGCGGCCTGTTTGTGATTTCTAGCACCAGAGTTTGTTCGGTTCTGTGCTGCGACGAGATTAGTAGACACGCATACATAACGTAACCAACACGTCTGATGGTTTCAGCAGGCTCTGAAGCTACCATTTAAGCCTTGCAAGTACAATAGCCCCTATCGACCGTCTCCTGTGCAACTTGGCTAGTCAACGGAATGCAAATCTCGAAGAAATATCCGGGTAAGTTTGCCAAACTCTTCATCTCGGGACGTCCAACGGCAGCGTGGGTTCGTGAAACGATTAAAAGCACTTAAGAACTCGAGCAACATCCAACCGAACCACATAAAAATCGAGTAGAATCAAAAGGTACCATATTCTGTGGAAGTTGATTTGGTGGGAGAACAGGGCATACAGCATCTGTGACCCGCATATTGGAGTTGAAATTGGCCACTTCTGTATCCATGGGCTCCAGAACACCGAGCTCTTTTGTAACCTGGGGCATGCCCTGTTTCTTTTGAGGCGGCAAATTTTCCGAGCTCATTGTTGAAATAAATGCGGCGTCGGAATTCGTATAGAAACGAAGAGATGAAGCACTAAAACTGAAAAAAAAGTTCACTTCGAAATAAGAATCAAAGCGGTAGACAAATTGCCCACAAACAGAGCGTGAGTCATAAGTAGGGCGACTTTAACTAGGCAGAAGGGTCGTGATAGATAACGAAAACAATTCGTACTTCCTTTGAACTTGCACTAAAAAAACAGAAAAATCAGGCCAGGCGGAAGCCACGGACAACTTATCTGCTTTTCAGAGTAAAATGATAAACAAAAACGCCCACAACCGTGCGAATTTGTAAGGAGTAACAGGAGCTGTATGTATCGCGAAATTAGTTATATCATAGGAACATGCTTTCTCAGCCAGATAGGCCTTGTGTAAAAACGGATAAATGAAGGAGGCTTGACATTGGCAGCAAGTGCAGCATCTTTCCAGAAAATCTACAGTTTAACTATGGCCATTTTTGGCTGGCGAATGCATAACTCTGACAATACAAGAGATATTAAAGAAACAGTGCAATATACGAACACTGCAACGTGAGGAAAGGTGCGGTGATAGTTCTGGTGGAGCCGACGTAGATAAACTAATAAGAAAGTGAGCTGTGATTATTATCGTGAGCTGCGCCAGATAAAAGCGTGATCATGAGGCTCGGGCTAGAACCTGTCTAAGCGTTCACGATATAGTGGGCCGAGAGGCGCCTTTTCAGCCGAGCACCGTCCGTCAGGGTCGTCGCCGCTTAGTGCATTATCCGAATAACTTCTTAGACTCTTTCAAGACTTAGTTACGGCAATGACGACAACACCGGTAGCGGGAGGCCTTAGTAGCGCACACATTACCGACCAGTAGTAGTCGGCTGTAACTGTACTGTATAACCTGCAATGAAGAAGGCAATATGCATTGAACTTGGTGACGTTAAGACGGCTTAGCGTACACCTTACGCATTCCAAATCTCGATCATGAGCCTCCAGCCAGAACCTGTCTGAGTAACCATAGCTTGATGTGACTGAGAATTGTTTTTTTCGGCAGAGTGCATTTTTTATAGTGTCTGTTGCGCAAGAAGTTCCGTATTTGCTTTTTTTCTTTCAGACAGCTTAAAAGAAGGTTAACGTCACGTGGTACGCAATCTAGCAAATAAGCATTTATCCTTGTCTGGGGATCTGGAACACTGCAAATAATTCTTGTCGTCCACTGCACAGAAGTTACTGTCATATAGTTTGCCATAATTGCGGTTGAAAACAGATGGCTGGGCGACGAAGAGGGGTGCGCCACCGGAATAAACCCTTATTCTGTAATTCCAGTCAGCCAACGACTATTGACGGACAGTAAAATGGTCACCCGG